CAGATGATAGATAGATAGACAGACAGACAGATGATAGATAGATAGATAGATAGAGGGAGAGGGGAGGGATAAATATGGAGATGATAAACAGAGATAGATGACAGAGAAAGATAGATGATAAATAATGGATGGACAGATATATACGTAAATACATGAATGAATGAATAAGAAAAACAAGAATTAATCAGGGTTTGCCATGACATGAGCATTGCTGTCCTGAGTTATGGGCAACTTGGACATTAAATCATAATTTGGCGGGGGCTCTATTTTGCCACTGCTTTGGTTATTTGTTCCCACATATATACAGATAGTCCTCAAATTACAACCACAATTGAGTCAAACATTTATGCTAGTATGTGAAACATTTGTTGAGTTTTGCTCCATTTTATGACTTTTTGCCTCAGTTGTTAAGTGAATCTTTGCATTTGTTAAATTACTAACATGTTTGTTAAGTGAATCTGGGTGCCCCATTGACTTTGCTTGCCAGAAAGTTGAAAAAGTTGATTGGACACTGAAACCATCATAAATATGAACCAGTTGCCAAGTATCTGGATTTTGATCAGGTGACCATTGGGATCCTGCAATGGTTGTGTGAAAAACGGATACGTCACTTTTTTCAGTGCTGTTGTAACTTCATTGTCACTAAATGAACTGTTTTAAATTGAGGATTACCTGTACAAAAGTGGATCTTTAACAGATGCCTCAGGATCCCTTTTTCCTGGTTTTGTGTTTCGATTTTGGGAATAACAGGAAGCTGAAGCAGAGCCGTTTCTTTGCTTCGTGCCGATTGCCTGCTGCTCTCACCACCAAGAACAAAGACCAGCCCAAAGCAGGAACCCTGGGGGCTTCTTTTCGCAGGATGCAGCTGAGGGGGGGCAAGAGAGAATCTGTCCTGGAATGCATCCCTGCAAAACCTCCTTTTAACCTGCTGAGCAAACTTTGAGAGTTGGCTGAACCCCTTGGTTGAACCACTGGAGAGGAACGAAGCTCAGGGGAAGCCCCCTCCTTATTAGGCCCACTGAGGTTCGCACCGTTTTCTAGCAGCAAAGAGGTGGCCAGTTCAGGCAGTACGTTCTACTCTGGAGCACATCTACTGATTCAAAAACATTCATATCCCAGCTGCTCAGCCGTGCCTGGGAAGAAGAGATCAGATAGAAAGTCGGAAAGGCAGGCCCCTGCTCTATTTCAAAGGGAAACAAACCCTTGGCTTGCAGGATGGCAATAGCAATAGCACTATATGCTGCTTTATAGTGCATTACAGCCTTCTCTAAGCAGTTTACAGAATCAGCCTATTGCCCCCAACAATTTGGATCCTCATTTTACCCACTTTGGAAGGGTGGAAGGCTGAGTCAACCTTGAGCCTGGTGAGATCTGAACTGCCAAATTGCAGGCAGCCGGCAGTCAGCAGCGGTAGCCTGCAGTACTGCACTTTAACCATAGGATAGAGATAAAGTCTCATAGAAAATTAATTTAATGCTATATAAAACGGCTTCTCTGCCTCCCCAGGGCTTAGAGCAAACCTACAGACATATGGCCTTCCATTTAAGCATTTGCTAAAAATTGTTACTGCTGATGGGGATGAGGGCCAGCTGGGCCTCTTCCATTCTAGGTGCTATCATCAGGGAAGTGGCTGCCGCTTCAGGCTTGACAGGGCATCTGCAGTGAAAGGGATGACTTCCCTTCCCCTGCCGTTTAGCAGGCCTCTCCATCTCCTGAAGGCATCTTACTCTTGGGCTGTTGATTACCCTGGAAAGGCGCCTGGGAGAACGAGCGTCTGGGTGATAGGGGAGGAACTGTCCCTGCTTGAAAGAAGTTATGAAGATGTATGTTTCTGACTAGCTTTTCTTCTTTTGGAAGTCAAGTTCATGCGATAAACGGGGTTACCACAGCTTTGCCATGCCATCCCCTTTGCCATCCCCTGAAGTAGCAGATATAGGTAGAGTTTCAACCAGCCTACAAATAAAACCAGCTGTCCAAGTATTTTGCCACAAAAAGACGACTAAGGTAGCAGATCCAAGGCTGCACCTTTCCTGCCTTGATTCTCCAAGCAAGTGCCACTGCAAGCCACTCTGTGTGATTTCCCTGCACCTCCCCATCTTTAATCAGATGCCAGAAATTACATCCACCAGCATTTCAGAAGAGCAGGCAGTGCAATTGTGGCTTTAGGCCAGCTGTGCCAAAACAGATGTCAGTTTCTCTGCAGCTGCCTGCCTGTGTGCTGTTCAACCCAGTCCTCCCTGGGCTTCTCCGGGTGGGCTATCCTAAAGAAGCAGAGATGCTGAAGGAAATCTGGTGTCCTGCCTCTCTGGGAACAACACACCAATATTCTGCCAGAAGCAGGCACGGAGTCTTAAGCAATGGCTACTTATTTTCATCCTTCTATCTCTTGAGGAAGGGGAAATTGTAAGGCACACAGGTGCATACATGCATTTCCATTTTAATGATTGCTACAAAATGCATTTCCAAGAGTGGATTGGAATCACCAAGAATGGGGAGTGTTACAACCTAAGGGGAAGGGGGAGAAACCTTGTCTTGGGTTTACTGGAGGCCAGGAACCCTTGTGAGGGAGAAGTTTGGGATCTACGAGGAATCCTGCTGGGTGGAGGGTTTCCTAACCTGGGCAACTTTAAGATACCTGAATTTCAACTTCCGGAATTCCCAAACAACCCAAGAGTTGAAGTCCACACATCATAAAGTTGTCCACGTTGAGGATTGTTTTTAGGAGTGAGGTTTCTAAATTGGACAGAAGGTTCCCACCGGTCACTTACCTAAATGTGTGCCTATTCCCCGGCTATCCACCACCTCTGCTTCCTCCAATGAAGTCCCATTACAGCTGGGGATTGCCAGGGCAGCTGCGTGACTCACGTTTGCCCAGTCATCGCTTGGCAGGCAGACCGACATGGAGTTATGACCAAGATCTGCCCTTCCAGGTGGTGAAGACGCCTCCATGTAGGGCTTGTTTTGAATTCCAAGGAGCTGTTTGGTGCTTTTTCCACATATGTCAGAAACCACAGCACCCCATCAGGGTGCAATATTCAACGGTGCAGCTGGGAGCCTAAAGTAGCCATGGCATTTTGAGCCTCTGCATTTCCTTGCACAGCTTCAAAAAAAAAATTGTCTGCTTTTTTAAAAGCGGAGTCCAGACGCCCGAGATGGCCCAATCATGTCGCAGCACTCTATTTCCTGCTTCTTGGAAGTAATAACTATCCACTAGGCTAACTAATTCCTATGCAGACAGCAGCTCTAATCATCTAATTGGCCTTAAATAGTTGAAAAATCTTTGAACAAAATCATCATTTTTTGCCCCTATTTTATTTCTAATTTCTATACTTCATTTACAGATTTTCCCCTTGAAGCTTCAGCTCATGAAATATAAACACTAGTCACAGCCCCTCCCCCCAAATTAAATAGGCCAGAACCCAAAGAACATAACCCTTCAAGAATCTTCCATGGGCACCGTGTCCTGTAGCACCTGGACCATCTTTTCCTCCATCAGCTTGGCTTTGCCTGAAAGAAAGAAATCACAGGTAAGCAAATGGTTTAAGCTTTTCTAAAAAGAATAATGGGTTCCTTGCAGAATGCAAGAGTTCAGATGCAGCTTCTGAACCAGTCAGCGAGGAGATCACAGCTAAATCCCCCAAAGCATCAGGCTATCAGGCCAGGAGGGAGCTCTGGAGGATTAACCAAACAAGCCACTCCAAGGATCTCCCCTCTCCAGCCATCCTGGGTTCCATTGCTCACCTGCGTGGGGGGCCTGGATGAGGTGGATGCTTTGCTTGACTTCTTTGATGTCCTGTGCTTTCTGTAACTCTTTCCCCTTCTTTAATCTTGGAGGAGAGAGAAAAGGAAAAGCTAACAAGCATCCCGGCAGAAGCATTTTACTTTAAGACCCCGGGTAAGAGCCAAGGTGGCGCAGTGGTTAAATGCAGCACTGCAGGCTACTGCTAGATCAGCAGGTC